AAGTATAGAAATAGATGCTCAATACCACAATGAGATGTCACCTGATACTGTAGCGCAGCTACTAGTGAGAAGTGGAGACTCTGGGGCAGGCACAGCCCAGGACTAGGAAGGCAGACAGGCTGTGTGAGGCTGGGGGAGGTGGACACAGATGAGACAGACAGGGGTCAAACAGACCCTGCGGTAGGTGATAGCTGACCCTCCCCAGCTGGTCTGGCTCCTCTGCGCTAAGGGGTAAAGACAGAGATGGGGCTGAGGAGGCATTTGCCAGGACCCATAGCCCCTCACCCTCTCTTCCACTCTCTGAAGGGTGGGGTTCTGCCCTTCCCCTGGGACTCCATTTTAGCATCCTATGCTGCTCAGGATGGGAGAGGTTCGGCTGAGTGGCAGTGCAAGGAAGTGCAACCCATCTCATAACCGGGGGTGGAGGGGCATAGGGAGGTCCTACTTAGTAGGGTGCAGAAAGGACAGGAGGGGCCTGCCTTGTCTGAGGTCCCTCCCTTTTGTGTTCCACTGGCAGGCTGTACCCCGTTGGTGTCTTCCTGGAGAGAATGCAGCAGTCAGACTTGGTGCTTCAGAACTACCATATCCCGGCTGGGGTGAGTGAACCCCAAGTCCCCGGCAGAAGCCACATTGCACATGGCCCCACAAGGCAGCTGACTCCTCCCTCCGCGTCTGCTGCAGACATTGGTGCTGTTTCATCTGTATGCGATGGGCCGAAACCCCGCCGTGTTCCCGAGGCCAGAGCGCTACAGTCCCCAGCGCTGGCTGGACAGGAGGCTGCGTTTCCACCACTCAGTCTGGGGTGCGCCCGACAGTGGAAAGAGAGAGAGAGACTCCCCTGCTGCTGCGTCACGTGAGCACGAGGGGGCGGGGTCTGGAGGGGGCGGGGCCCAGAGTGGGGCGGGGCCTCAGAGTAGGGCGGGGCCTGCATGGTGACCGGGGCCTTTTCAAATAGGATGGGACCTGGGCGGAGAATTCGTAATATTGCCCAATTCTGATGGGGAGGCCTCAGGCTCTTCACCTTAGGGCGAGGCCTGCAGAGAACCATACGCTGCTGTTCCGGGCAGCATGGTGGCAGCAGTGAGCACCTTGGGAGGAGTTTGGGTCAACACCCTGCCCTGCTGAGGTCAAACGGAAGCTTTGTCTCTGTCCCAGGTGCTGAAATCCTTCAGCGTGGAGACACTACACAAAAAGGATTTAAATTTGGTCTACCATTTCGTTTTGATGCCCGCCTCCTTTCCCCTCCTCACCTTACGTCCTGTCCACTAGTGCCCCCTCTGCATCAAAGGCATCAGCCAGTCGACCCGCGTCCCTCTACCCTGTCCCCAGGCCATCCGCCCCTTTCTCTCTCAAGGAACTGCTTTCAGCAAGCCCTGTGCACACATGGAAAAGCTGCAGCCCTCCTGGTCAGTGTTTGCCAGGCCAGGCCAGGACCTAGGAGGACCTCGGTGGCAGGTGGTGGCTTTGTCCCCAGTGTCACTCAGCTCCTTCTCCAGCAAGTAGTCTCTGCTGGGACACTTTCTCCTTCCCTCCCAGCAGTTGCTCCAGCCTCCTCATGTTTTCCTCCACAGCCCCTCAGATCCCACCCTTGCCTTCCTGTCCACTATCATGTACCCATGGCAACCTCTCCCTCTCCAATTTCCCACAATATCAGTAGGTGGTTTGAGATTGTGAGAGGGGACCCAGCATTGAGAGCCCAGGTTGAGACTCTCCTGCTGTGGCCTTCCTTCCCAAGCTGCTCAAAACATGAGAAGCTGTTGCAATTCGCCATCATGGGGGGAGACCCTGCAGATCAGAGTGCAAAGGCCTTGGGGGTGACTCATCCTGACCCATCCTCCTTTCCAAGATGAGAAAACTGAGTCTGGACAGAGCTGATCCCACAGCTAAGTGGAGTCTGCCACAAGACTCAGCCTCTATCACCTTGGGGTTGCAGGACCAGTGGGTGACCAGAGTTCAGCCCCCAGAGCAGTGCTGAGGGGTAGAAGCTAAAAGGAGATGGAGGTTGCCTGTGGGGGACAAAAAAGCTTGGATCACTGAAAACTGGCTCTTATCAGCAGAGTCTTCACATATGTCCCCTGGTCAACACTTGAGCACATAACATATGCCATCACCTGTGTGGGCAATCAGGACATGCTTCCATCCACCCTTATGTGTTCCTCATGCCACAGAGAAAATGTACACCTGGGTCCCTGGCCTTGCTCCAGCCCACAACTTCAGGGAGAGGATGTGCCCTGGTTAGGACCACAGCCAACACACTGTCTTCCTCTCTGTCCCTTCCAGCTGCTCTAATAAAATGTCATACAACAGTATCTTCTGAAGAACAGAAATTCATTTCTGGAAACTGGCAAGTCCACAATCATAGCAATAGTGTGTTCTGTATCTGGTAAAGAAGGACTGAGTCCCTGGCTTAAAGGTGGGACCTTCTCCCCATGTCCTCACATGGTGAAAAAGGGCAAGGAAGCTCTCAGGTCTTCTTTTATGCGGACGCCAATGTTCCTCATGAGGGCTCTGCCACCTGTACCTGATACCCTCTTACTGCCCCACTGTCTTCTTACCATGACATCGATGATTAGCTTGCAACAAGCAAATACCACCCACGTCTGATATGGGTGAGACACAAGGTACAAGGCTTCCTGAGTCAAACTGTTCCCGTTGTGCCCTGGGAAATCCATCAAGTTACATGCTTCCAAAATTCAATGGCTGCACAGGTGTGTGATAGATGATCACTTTTCAACCAGGACAAGGGGAAAGAAGGAAGTAACATGCCTTAAGTTGCTCTGAAAACCAAAAGACTAAGCAAGGTTAAATGTTACAGTTCAAGAAATTCTCTGATGGCATGTCCTGCCTTACAGACATCCTGGGACAGGAGTTGGGCCCCCATGGTTCCAGGACACCTTGCCCTGTGGCTGTCCTCAGCAAAGGCCATGCCACAGCTCTCACAGCTGCAGTTGCAAAGCTGCTGTTCTCCTAAAACCCAATCCCCCATGGGTCTTGTTTCTTCACTGGGCACTACTTTCTCAGAATTCCTCTGCCTAGGACCTGCACCTGCCCCTCTGGGAATCTCATCTTTGCTGGCTGGTCAGTGAGAACCCTGCCCCACAGCTTTTCCCTCTGTACTCTAGTGGAGATGGACCCACAGGAGCATCCCCTGGAAGTGTAGCCACCAAAACCCAGGACACACCTGGGCCTGCTCGACCCACACTTGGGTGGGAAACATCAAGTCTCCAGAACACAAGCAAAAGACCCCTGAAACCGCAGTAGGTGGTGTGTACCAAGGCACTGGGGGAACCTCTGGACGCTCCGTGGCTCCTTGAAAAATATCTTCTTTTTAATTGCACTGTAGTTTGAACTCAGGGCTTCCTGCTTAGGTGCTCTACCACTTGAGCCATGACCCAATCCCTTTTTGCCCTGGCACTTTTCAGGTAGGGCTGTTGTCCAGGGACAGCCTGGACCTCAGTCCTCCAATTTATGCTTCACTCAGTAGCTGAGATAACAAGTGTGTGCTATCACACCCAGTTACTTGTTGAGATAGGGTGTCCTGAACTATTTCCAAGGGATGGCCTTGAACTGTGATCCTTCAGATCTCAGCTTCCTGAGAAGCTGAGATTATAAGTGTGAGCTACTGGAGCCCAGCTTCATTTGAAAACCTTGCAGTCTGGCTTTGTGATGGCTGTGGCAGTCACAGTGGCTTCTGAAATGCCTGCATGTACATTCTTCCCTTGCCTTGAACAATAAATCTGGGTGATCCATTTTAATCTGATTATCAGATTGTGTTCTGGGAATTCCCTCTGGAGCTCACTGTCTCATAGTTTGCAATGTGGACTGGCTAAGATTTCCAAATCTTCAAATTCTGAGTCCTTTGACATGAAAACTTCCACGTTTAACACATCTCAGTGTAGAGAAAGTGTTTTTAATCCAGAAAATGGAAACTTGATAAATTTGATGTCATAATAAGTTTTCTGCATTGCATTGCAAAGACAACTGATGAATTGGTCTAAAATAGTTCTAAAATACAAATACAGTGTTAAATTCCTTAATATTAAAGTCACCTTACATATAGGAAAAGAAAAACATCAAAAACCTGGTAAAGTGGTACAGCTCTATGAACATGAAATTCACACCAAAGAAACACAAACAGAAAATAACCTTCTGTGTGTTCTTCCCCAAGACCTCCAACTACAGGTTAGTCACGAGAAACCATCAGGTAAACCCAAATCCATTGATATGCTACAAAACACCTGAGCAGAATTTAAGCGTCAAGGTCATGAGAGATAAGGAAAGAAATGATCTAGGTCAAAGGAGACTAAGGAAAGACATTGACCCCATGTGATGAAGTACCTGGATCAATGCCTACTGCAAAACCAAGGGAGCAGAGTGGGAAGCAGATGTCTGCAGTTAGCTGACATTGCTGTACTAAAGTTAATTTCTTTGTGTTAATGAAGGCACCATGATTATCTAAACATTAGCACCAGGGACAAAACGGGAAAGGAAACTCTGCATTCCTCTGCAGCGCTTAGGAAACTCCAAGCTGATTTAAAATGAAATGTGAAAAAAGGTACACACAGTGATATTCACTCAGCATTGTTTGTCATTGCTGAATACTGGAAGCCACCTGAATGTTGCTATGTAGGATGAATATACCGTTGTACACAAGGGACAGCTGTGGAGCCATAAAAGCAAGGCATCACCTGAAAATCTTCACAGTGATTTTCATGACACACCGTTCTGTGAACAAATGAAATGTAAACATTACCTGTGCAGAGTTCCTTTTGTGTGGGAAAAAATCACAATCAGATAATAAAAGAATCAGAGGGAGCACAAAGAAAAGCTATTGAGGTTGCTGGAGTATGGGGTGTGGGTAAGAGGTGCAATGGTGACAAAGGATGATGTGACACCACTTCTGTCACTCATCTGAGTATTTCTTTGTGCAGTTCCAACTTTGTATCCATGATAGTTTTCACATACACAATTTTAAATGAAATGACAAGTGTGGAGTCAACATGAGGGGTGAGTTACAAGCTCCTGAGGAAACACTGAATAAACAACAATATATGGAGCAAATAATTTCCCAAGAACTCTGATAAACAGTTAAGAAGTTGCAGCAACCACATGTCTGCATAACCCAGAAAAGGCCACTGTCACACAATATGGAAATTCTATAGCATTTTGTACCCCTTTCTGGACCATCTTCCCGGTAGAGTGTGGAGAAACCAGACAACTCCCAGCGTCTCCCTTGGGATGAGCAGAAGGGAATAGCAATGTCTTGCAACACCCTGACTTGTCTGAGGACTGGGTTCTGTCTTGTCTGAATGTGAGTGCTGCTGCAAATAAAGCCTAGTTAGGCTGTGAGATTGGAGGTCACTGAAAGTGGTGGGCACTTCTACATGATGGTGCTTCAGAAAGTATGCAGACCTCCAAGTGCCTGGGAGGAAATGGAAAGAAATAAGAATAACTAAAAGGAAATTAAAACATTTAAAAGCAGCTGTGTGTATGGGGAACCCAGTGAAATTGCATCTATTCATCCAGAAAGACAGTGCCTTGCAATGTGTGTGAGAGTGTGGCAGGAAGGCAGAGAGGGGAAACAGAGATTAATGAGTGCTACAGTAAAACAAAGGAAAACCAGAGCTGGGACTGTTAACCTGGAGACCAGAGAAGGGTCACCTCACCCCAGAGGTTAAAACAGTCAATGAAATAGTATGTGACTATGTATGGGACAAGCTGTATCCCCCATTTCTGTAACCTGCTCTAAATGGTATATAAGGCAAGCCCCCTTTGATCTGGGGCTCAGCCTTTGGACATGCATCCACTGAGTTGCTGCTGGCTTACTTAATAAACTTGCTTCCCGAAAGCTTTGGTGCCCTTTCAGTCTCTATCTGAGCCCTCCTGCAACATTTCTAGGGGCCTGGCTGGGATTTGGGTGTTGGTGTTTTCACCTCCTTGTCACCGTCTCAGCTCCCCAGCCCACCTGGAGGGCTGCCCCTGCCAGGTGCCACCAGACTATGTTGATCCCCAGGAGGGAGCCTCTCCAGGCGAGCAGAGGAGACAAGTTTGGTTGCACAAAGGAACCTGGAAAGGCTTGGGAACCAACCTAGGAGCCCCACTCATCAGACTGGTAAGAACATGGGTTCAAATTCAGGCCTACTGCAGAAGGCAGAAGCAAAGTCTGATCAACTCCCAAAAGACACCCTAGTAACTGCCCCTTTTGGGGGTGAAACTGTGTCTTTCAGGAGGGAGTGGGGTGAAAGTACTATACTGTGCAAGAGTGTGTGAAAGTGCGAGCCTGAGACATAGCCTGGTTATGAAGCAAGTGTGGAGTCCTGATCTGCGTGTCCATGGTGAACTCATATGGTCTAGAGTGGGCCCTAATAGGGCCTCCTGTTTGGGGCTTATAAGGACTCATTACAGCCAAGAGACGCCTAAATCCCCACAAGGGGAGCAGCTGGAAATGGGCAAAGTGAGTGGTATTGTTTTCCCTTGTGTGCCTGAGAGGAGGACCCCTTACCTCCTCTCCACAGCCCTCATCCCTTCCATCTTTATCTCTGTCTAGATGCCTGGCAAATGGGAGGAATTGAAGGAGGTTAAGAGTGAGAACACCCACCTAAAGCTTTAAGAGGGGATTTAATGGAGATTATGGAGTCAGGCTGACTCCTGGCAAGCTTAGGACCTTCTGTGAAATAAACTGGCCTGCTTTTGGTGTAGGATGGCTCTCAGAGGGGTCATTAGATAAAGTCATGGTAAATAGAATTTTTAAAGTGATTATAGGGGAATTGACTGCTGGCAGGATGCATTCCTCAGTCAACCCACATGGCTAACACCCCACCTAAGAAAGCATGTAAGGTTATGGTAGCCAGGGTAGCAGCAGCTTCCAAGTACAGGGAACATGTAAAAAGCCAGAAAAACCCATATTAGTAGGGGCCCCCAAGGAGTCCCTGCCCCCCTTATCTGCCACTATATAGATTAGAGAATTTCTAGGAGCTGCAGTTTCTGCCGAATCTGGATTCCCAATTACTCTCTCTGCAAAACCCCTGTATGAAGCCACAAAGGAAGGAGAGTGGGAACTCATGGTATGGGGAGAGAAACACAAAAAGGCCTTAAAAAACTAAGAGGGCACTCATAAATGCCCCTGCTCTGGGCCTGCCAGCTGTGATAAAGCCCTTCTTCCTAAATGTACATGACAGACTGAGAGCTGTAGGAGTCTTGACCCAGCTGCTAGGTTCCTAGCACCACCCAGTGGCCGATTTATCAAAGCAACTTGATGCAATTTTGTGAGGCTGGCCGCCCTGCCTGTGCACCCTAGCAACTACTGCTGTCTTGGTGGCTGAAGCAGACAAACTTACTTTGGGACAAAAACTCACAGTCCGAGTTCCCCACTCTGTTTTGATTCTCATGAAATATAAAGAAAATTATTAGTTAACAAACTCCCAAATATCAAATATCAAAGCATGTTACGTGAAAACCTGCGTGACTGGCTAGAGGTTGTTAAGACTCTAAACCCAGCTACCCTATTACAGGTTAATTCAGGCCTACAGGAGAATGACTGTTTAGAAATTATGGATGAGCTGTTCTCCAGCTGGCCAGGCTTGACCAACCAGCCCGTTAGTCATCTGGACATTGAGTGTTTCACAGATGGCAACAGCTTTGTGTGAAAAGACACACACTTTGCTGGATATGCAGTAGTGACTCTGGACACTGTCATTAAAAACACAACCACTGCTAGTCCAGACTTATAATTCAGGAGAAAAAGTGTTAAACATGGACAAAGCTGGATGGGCCCCTAAGCAAGTAGTGGTCATGCCCTGCTGAGAGAACCAGAAGAGGGAGACAACAGCTGTTCAGGGAAACTGAAAGGCTGATAGGCAAGCCAAGCGAGCGGTCCTCACAGAAGGACAAACCTCAGCCTCACTGACAGCTGCCTTGTTCCTGTGCCCCTTATCTGAATGGGACCCACGGTATACTTCACAAAAACAGGCGTGGCTTGAGACTGAAGGAGGAAATTTTCTACTAGATGGATGGTGGTTTACTGATGGCTGCATTGCCGTACCTGAGTCACTGGCTCCCACATTTGTCTAGCAGTTCCATGAAGGCACTCACTCAGGGTGGACAGCTCTCGAGACCACATTGACCCAGCATTTTTATGTCCCCAAGCTCTCCAGCATAAGTAAGATGGTATGTGCGAGGTACAGTTTGTGTGCCAGAAACAACCCCCAATATTTGCTGGTGTTTGTCTACACCTCCTCAGGATGGATAAAAGCATTCCCCACTCAGACTGAGAAAGCCCAAGAAGTGGACAGGTGCTTGTTAAAGAAAATCATCCCTTGATTGGGTGTGTCTGATGGGTCAGACAATAGGCCAGCCTCTGTGACTGAGGTGGTACAGATAGTGGCTAAGAGATTAAAAATAATTTAAAAGCTACACATGGCCTACTGCCCCCAGAGTTCAGAGAAAGCAGAACGAATGAACAGGACTCTAAAATTGCAGTTGGGAAAACTGTGCCAGGAGAGCCACCTACAGGGGATCAATTACTGTCCCTAGCCTTGCTCAGGATTAGATCAAGCCCCACCAAGTGGACAGGTCTCTCCCCTTTTAAAATTCTTTTTAGACATCCACACCCGTCAGTCAAGGGGCTGCCAGGGGACCTTAAAAAAACAGGTGACCTCACCCTGAGACAACAGATGTGGGCCCTTGCGTTGACTCTCTCAAAAATCAATGACTGGGTAAGAGAGAGATTCCCTGTTAGCCTCACAACTCCCACACACCCTTATAAACCAGGGGATGCTGTTTGGGTAAAGGAATGGAACATTCAACTGGTAAAGCCCCACTGGAGAGGCCCTTTTGTTGTTGTTTTGTCCACGCCCACTGCACTTAAAGCAGCAGAGATCATTCCTTGGATCCACCACAGCTGAGTGAAGCCAGCTTCCCTCAGTGGGAGTGCATCCCTGATCCAGCCTCACCGTGCAAGATCACACTTTGGAATGCCTGGGCCCTTTCCCAGCAGGACCCTGCTTCCCAGGAGAAACAGGAGATCATGAGTGATGTGACATCAGCACTGCTCTAGTCACTCCAGAAGCTGACTAGTCTACTCACAGCAGAAGCTTGAGGAGTTGCCCATCTCACCTTTGAGGATGAATGCTTTCCATGTAGTCTTCTTGTAATCTCGGCCAGCTCTCTACCTGGGGACCCCCAGGCTTTCGTGTATGCACACTACCTGAGTGGGGAGTGCTGTTACCAAAACTCTGGTTTTCATACTTCTTATTCCTGTGCAGATGCCATTGTTGGGTCATGCACCCACAACCATACCACGTACTCAGTGTGCTTTCATGATGATCAGTATATCTGCTTTAACCCCATCTACTGCCCGCAAGAGCAAGCACTGGGAAGCTTATTAATTGCACCCAGGTTAATGACCCCAACAAACCTGTGTTTGCAATAGCTAAAAACACCAGGCCTTAGGCCAACTGTGGGGAGCTAGCCTGGAAAAGGACCTACAGGTTAAGTGACAAGTATATAGGCCCAAAAGGTGACAGCGAGACATCCAGTTGGGCATACTATGTACAACTCTACTGCCCTTATTTGGGTTGTGAAAGGAGGATAACTTGTTTAAAAGGGGAGGTCCACACCTCACATAAAATTGCCACTCTTTTACAAAAAATGGAAGCAACCCCCAGCTGCATATTTGATGCCTGTAACCCTGTAAATTTCACTATTTTCAACCTCAGTGAAACAGGTTGGAGAATTGGGAAATAGTCTGACATTCTAATCTACAAAAAGGAAACAGACCCCAGTACTTTGCATTTTCAACTAATCATGATCACTCATGAGAGCTCCTCATACCAGGTCTTTCACTCCTTTTACGAGGAAGCACAGTCCTTCCAAAACAAAAACAATCTCCAGTAACTAATCTCAAAGAAATTCAGGATTTTGATTGATCTGATATTAAATTTAAAACTGTCTTAAACACACTCTATGTGGGGAGACAACTTAGAAAGCTGAACAAAGTGAGGAAAATAAGTAATGAACAAAAGAACATGAACAATGTGATAGAAATTATTTATACAGGTGACCAAACAAATTCTGGAGCTGGACTATATAATAACTTCACTGGAAAGTTCACTAAAGGGATCATATTAGTTCATTTTATCATCACCGTGTCCAAATACCTGACAGAAACAACCAAAGGAAAGGAAGATTTATGTTGGTCAAAGGAGGGAGACTGTGTGGAGCACTCAAACCATGTCAGACAGGAAGCAGAGACCAACAGTGACATGAAGGGGCCAGGGCAAGACCCAGACCACAGGGACACGCTCCCAGTGACCTACTTCCTGAAGCCAGGCCCCGTCTTCCACAGTTCCAACGCTTCCCAACAGTCTGTTCAAATTGTGAATCCATCCATGGATTAAACCGTTGATTATCTCAGAGCCTCCTGATCTAATCACCTTTCAAGATCCCTCACAGACACACGCAGAGGTGGACTCTACTATCTCATATGTTTCATGATCCAATCAAATCAATAATCAAGATTAACCACCACAGGGTGAAACAGCAGAAGAAATCAGGTAAAAGAATCAAAGGAGGCAAAAAGTCTCTTGAAATTGTTGATCAGAGGAGAAAAAGAGAAAAGAATGATGACAAGTGAGCAGAGCCTAAGGGACTTTAGGGGACACTGTCTCATGGGCCAGTATACACCAAGCAGTTCTCAGAAAGAGAAGGGAGAGAAAAGAGCAGAGATTCCTTGAAGATACAATGGCTGATAGTTTTGGTAATTCAAAGTAAGAAAGGGATAGACAAACAAGTTGAATGAATTCCGGACGGATCCCCACCATAGACACGCTGTAGTGAAACCATCAAAAGTCAAAGAGAATCTTCAAAACAGTAAGAGAAAAGCAACTTTCCATATACAAAGGAATCTCCATAAAATAATCATTGGCTTGCCCAACAGAAGCCATGCCAACTGGAAGGCGGTGGACTAAAAAGCTGAAATTAGAATTCTCAAGTAAGAATGCTGCTATCATTGGGATCTTAGGTGTCCCCCCAGCTCTGGGTGGGAAAGGCTTGCTCCCCAGGCTGACATTGGTGGGAGGTGGTGAGCATAAGGAGGTGGGACCTCGTGGGAGGTGCGCCCTTGAGGTCGATGCTGGGACTGAGCCTCTTCCTCTTTTTCTCTTTCACTTCCTGGCTGTGGAGTTGGTTTTGCTCCACCACACACTCCTGGCCCGATGCACCGCCTTGCCCAGGCCTAGCAGAATGGGCCATTAAGACTGGATCATGGACCAGAACTTCTGAAACCTTTCTCCGAATAAGTTGATGGTCTCAGGTATTTCTCATACTGACAGAAAGCTGATACAACTACTATGGTCAGCAAACCTGACTTTAAAAAAGGAAGAGAAATGAAGGCTCGCTCAGTTAAACAAAGCTGAGGCCCTTCAAGAACAAAATGAAAGGACTGCCCTCATAGCTGGCCAGACCCCAAGTTCTGGTGGACCTATGTAGCCTTCCCAAATTCCCTGGGCCTTACCAAGTCCCTAGCCATGTGGGACTCAGCGGCCGGGGAGACCTCAGAAGCATGTCTAGATATGGCCACTGCACTCATCTTCCTCTCTGCATTTTGGGACAGGTGTCATGGCCTTGGTTGTCGGAGTAGGTAAGGGGAATGCAAGCCACATCTGGCTGCAGGAGCTACAGCTGAACAGGTTTAATGTACCTGGGGGACCCTACCTGCTGCAGAGTGGCATCATTATGCCCTTCTCAGGGAACTCTCTGATAGGACACAGGCTGGCCTTGGCACATCTTCTAACTCTCCCTCCTTTCTGTCCACCATGCTTCCTTCCTTCCACATTCAGTGGAGGTGTCCCGTTAGCACACGGACAGTGTGCGCTAGTTCTTCTACTTGTCTTTTCAATGGCAAGATCCTATGGCCTGGATGTAGCACGGTGAATTTAAACAGTCTCCTTTAATGAACACCTGTGCTGTTTCCAGGCTTTTTATATTCTACCAGCACTACAATTGTCCATAAAGTCACTCAGTACATACACAGGTATTCTGCAAGGGCAGCTCCCCCGCAGTGAGAGAGATGGTCAAAGGTTATTTGTATGTGCAATTTATATGGATGCTGTCCGGTTGCTACATCTGGCCAGTGTGAAATTCTGTGCAGGTGTAGTTGAGAGGTGAAAGCCTGTTCTGATGCCTTAGCCAGAAAAAAAAAAAAAAGCACATTCTTATTTAACCCTTGAATTTTCTCCAGTCTGAGAGGTGCAAATAGGGCCTGGTGTACTTTTTAATTGGCATTTTTGGCGTATGAGTGAGACTGCATAAGTGTTTTTCTTTCTAGTGGATTTGTGTGTTGTTGTGTGTGTGTGTGTGGTACTGGGGCTTCAAATCAGGGTCTTCACCTTGATCCACTCCCCCAGTCCTTTTTTGTGAAAGTTTTTTTCGAGATATGGTCTCATGAACTCTTTGTCTAGGCTGGCTTTGAATGGCAATCCTCCTGATCTCTGCCTCCTGAGTAGCTAGGATTACAGGCATGAGCCACCGGGGCCCGGCTCTAGTGGATATTTTTGTGATATCTTCATTCATCTCCTCATCTTTTGTCCACTTTCCTGTCAGCCTCTTAGGATGTGGTGAGATTAGTGCTTGTCAGTGATCAAAACTCAAATTTCTTCCCTATGTGCTCTTGGTGTCAGTATTCAAGGTAAGTAGAAGTGTGTGTTTTCAAGCAGTGTCTCAGTCCATTTGGACTGCTAGCACCCAATACAAAGAGTGGGAAATTTATAAACAAGAGAAATTTATTTCTCACAGTTGTAGAAGTTGGAAGTCCAGGCAAGCTTGGCGTCTGGTGAGGGCCCATTCCTCATAGATGACACCGCCTCAGTGTCTTCACATGGCACAAGGGAAAGAGGGCTCAACTCACCCCCTCAAAACCCTTTGTAACAAGACAATAATCTCACATCCCAGAGTGGGCCCTCATGGCCTAACTGCCTCCGAAGGGCTCCACCTCCTAACAGCATCACCAGGGGTGGACTTCAAATCCAGCAAATGTGGAGGGACACCCACACTCAAACCTCAGCCCCTGCAGTGCTGGGTGCTGCCATGCCAAGCACATTGTTGGAGAACAGACTGTGGCTGGCAGGCCCAGCTTCATTTCAGAGCCCAGACCTGACTATGGGATTCTCTGAGAGGTCCTGCATCAATGTAACCAGGAACATTCCTCATGCAGTGAGAAATAATTCTCTCACGCTGACTCCTTTGTTCTGCAAGAAGCAGATTTCTGTGTACCAATGACACACGTGGGGACCTGACATCCTCTTTTTAGGAATACCCTGGCCCTGGGTGTCTGTATGTGATGGGTCCCCAAGCACAGAAAAGCACTGGGCATGACAGATAGCTCATGATTAATCCCAGAATTTGTGAAGCAGAGAGAATCATGGTGCAAAGACATCCCAAGTAAAAGTGAGATGGCCCCATCTCAACAACAATAAGCTGGACGTGGTGGTGTAGCCGTAATCCCAACTACACAGGAGGCATAAAAGGAGGATCTTGTCTCAGGCCCAGCAAAAAGGGCTAGAGGTGTGGTTTAAGTGGTAGAGCATCCGCCTGGCAAGCTGGAGCTGCTGATGGCCTGAGTTCAAATCCTGGTACTGCAAAAAAATCCAAAAAAATCCAAAAAAACACCAAATGTTCCCCTGAGGCCTCTGACCATGCAGTCCACAGGATGTCACGTCCTGCTATAAGAACGCATGGAGTAGGGGAACCTTCGTCCCTACTCCTGGATATGGTCAGGCTTTTCTGTCACCTCCCTGGGATGCCCTGTCACGCATAGTAATGGAAACTCGGCATGCTGGACGGTGGGAGGCTGATGCTTCCTGAAGGGAGGGGCTGGAAGGGGAGCGCCCTAGGGGCGGGGCCGGGAGGGGCGGGGCCGGGGAGGGGCGGGGCCGGGAGGGGCGGGGCCGGGGAGGGGAGGAGCCACTGGGGGCGGGGCGGGGCATGGTGCTAAGACGGCCGGCCTGGGTTGAGGGCTGACTTCTAGAACGTTCTGTGCAGGGCCGCGGAAGACTCGGAGCTGCTCCTGAGCAGCCAGGGACCGGGCTGGAGGCTGTCCTGGTGCTAAGGTGCCAGGCGGGGACACGGGCCGTGACCCCTAAGGGACGGTGACTGGCAGGGGAACCCAGGTCCCTAAGCCCAGTTGAAGGTGCCAGGCGGGGACGCGGGCCCCTAACCCTGAGGGACGGTGCTTGGAAGGGGGACGCGGGCTTCTGGCCCCAGGGAAAGGATCCAGAAGGTGGTCGAGGCCTTCCGACCCATGGAAGGTTCTAGAATGGTGACCCAGTCTCCTGGCCCCAGGGAAGGTTCCAGTAGCAGGGACTCCAGCAGGTTGGGGGGGGCGGGGCAGCGGTTCCAGTGCCCATAGTGCTCTGTGCGGCCTGCTGAGCATGGCCGGGCATGGGCTCCTTCCGTCCCTCCCCGCCGTCCTCCCCTCCCCTCCTCTCCTCCCCTCCTTTCCTCCTCCTCTGTTCTCCTCTTCTCTCCTCTCTCCTCCTTCCCCTCCCCTCCCCTCCTCCTCCTTTCTCCCCCCTCCCTCCCCTCCCCCTCCTTCCCTCCCCCTCCCTCCCCCTCCCCCCCCCCCCTCTCCTCTCCCCTCCCTCGCCTCCTCTCCTCTCCCCTCTCCTCCCCTCCTCCCCCCACCCCTCCCCTCCTCTCCCTCCCCTCCTCTCCCCCTCCCCTCCTCTCCCTCCCCTCCTCCCCCCTCCTTCTCCTCTCCCCTCCTCCTCCTCCCTCCCCTCTCCTCTCCTCCTCCCTCCCCTCTCCCTCCTCTCCTCTCCTCTCCCTCCTCTCCCTCCTCTCCTTCCTCTCCCCTCCTCTCCCCTCTCCCCTCCTCTCCTCTCCTCTCCTCCTCCTCCCCTCCTCTCCTCTCCTCTCCTCCCTCTCCCCCTCCTCTCCTCTCCCCCTCCTCTCCTCTCCCTCTCCTCTCCTCTCCTCTCCTCCTCTCCTGTCCTCTCCTCTCCTCTTCCCCACCTCTCCTCTCCCCCTCCTCTCCTCTCCCCCTCCTCTCCTCTCCCCTCCTCTCCTCTCCCCCTCCTCTCCTCCTCCCTCCTCTCCTTCTCCCTCTTCTCCTCCTCCCTCCTCTCCCCCTCCTTTGAAATATTTTCTTTCTGTTCTAGGAATATCCATGATAATTTAGAAAGATTCCATTTCTCTGTAGAGGAGGGCCCGTGGGCAGGGTGGGAGAAAGGATGGTGGGAGCAGGTAGCTGCAGAAAGGAGCCCTTGCCCTCCCTGATGAGTTGTGGCTCTCCTAATTTTCAGGTTCCCCATTCTTGCAGGAAATGATGCTCCCCTTCGCCTTACTCCTTGTTGTGGGGTTCCCGCACGTGGAAACCAACAGCAGCAATCCTCTTCAAAAATCTTGTGAGTGTGATCTCAAGACACTCACGTTTATGGGGGGATGTGAATTCAGCTGGGGCTAACCAGGGTCATTCCTCTGGAATTTGGGTCATCTGCACCAGCTGGGGTGTACATTGTCAGGGCAGTTGGGGGGTGTTCATGAGCAGGGAAGAGGGTCAGGGAGAAGGAGGCTTCACTCACAGAGCAGCTGACTAGACCTGAGGGAGAGTCTGGAAGTGGCACTTCCCCACAGGAACAGCAGGAGTAGTTGTGTCCAGGCAAATCCAGGAGGATGCAGGCCTCTCAGGTGTAACCTGCCTATCTGGGAGGCTGGGCGTGCTCTGCAGAGCTCAGCAGTCCCACACATGGCTGCCTGAGGGTGATCTTGAGGCTTCCTCTGAGAGCAGGAGAGCTCCATGGTAGGCCTGGCTCTTGTCCTGGGAGTTAGTCTTGCAGAAAATTGCACTACACCCAGGGACTGAGCTTTAAGGGCTTAGGGAAGTCCTTGGTGGAAGGTGGGGCCAGCTGTCAGAGGAGGGTGGAGTGGGCTGCTAATGGGTGAAAAGGGATGTTAGAGCCAAACTACAGTGCTGCTTTTTCTTCCACAGGGACCTTCAATCTGAAATGCCATGAGTGTTCGTCCATAAACAACTTCGGCTGTGAGACTTTAAGGACGTGTGTGTATGAAATTAGGCGCTGTATGACAATCGCCATCCGTAAGTATCCTTTTGACACTTGGGGTTTATCACCCCACCTGAGCAACTTGAAGGGGAATGACCATTGTGTCTCTGCAGCCAGCCCTGCTATTACCCTTCTGTTATCTTCAAACTGGGGGCATGTTCACAGACAAGGGGCTCAACCACTGATGGGACAGTGTGCATCAGCTTGTCGGCCAGGTATCTGCAAGATAGGGCAGGCAGTCCATGAGCCCATGATGTGTTCAGGGGCGGAACGTTACTGGCCCGTGGGTCTCCCTATTCATATGTGTTCACCCTGAGTGACTCTGTTGCCCATTTGGTTTGTGGCTGTGGGTAGGGAGTTTCCAACTAGCCAGGTACAAGCAGTGAACATGCCTTAACCCCTCAAGGTGATGCCTACCAGCAGTGGGTGAGGACAAAGCCAGAGATCAGTCTGTTTCTGCTTCACACTCCACGGCCTCTAGTATCTGAGAGATGTGCCTCTCCCTACTGCCTTACCAGCCAGAGACCCAATTACCATTTCAGCAATCAGGGAGGGCAGCCATGTAGGCCCTGGTGGACAAGAGGGGGCCTTATCTGTGGCCGTGCTCAGGACTCTTGCTCTGTCCCCTGGTGGCCTCCAAATCCCCATGCGCAGTTGCTCTTGCAGCTTCACGTGGCATTCTGTGTTTCAAGAGCAGTGCCGAATGACCTACGGATTGTTCCTCCTTCATCATAAGGAGTGCCATTGCCCTGTGATTATCTGAGGTTTGGGACATGTGCAGGAGGCTGAAAATCTGGCTGTGTTCCCACAGGGAGCCACTAATGGGCGTCTCGAGAGGCTGTTTTCACTTGGAAATGAGTGCTCCTGAAGGAGCCTGGGCAGTGTTCTTCTTGGAATCTGCATCTCTCTATGACTCTGTTAGAGTTGGATTTGCAAGCCTGTAAAAGTAGAGACTAGCACTCTGGAAGGTCACTGGGGCCTTATACAATGACAGGTTCTATTGTGATGATCTTCTTTCCATCACAGCAACATACACCTGAAATACCAGCTGACAATGAGAAAGGTTTGGTGGTTTCTGTGCATGAACAGCTGGACCCGTGACTTTGGCCTCTGACTCCACATCAGGGCAGGAGTATGTCGTGGAGGAAAGCATCTCACTTTGTGGCCAGAAAGAAAAAAAAAACGGGGGGAGGAACAGGGACATCTGTTGTCCCCTTAAAGGCCATGACCTCAGTGGTCACCATTGGGAGCAACCAAGGAAAGAAGGGTACACAGGAGCGCTCTGAATTACTTCTTACAACTGAACCTGATTTCATTTGTCTTCACATGAAATACTTAATGAAAAAGAAATTAAGAACTAACATGTCCTTACATTAACATTAATCAGCCACATTTTGTAGCCTAGAACTTTTCAAGTGCACAAGAAAGAATATATTGTGTATTAGAGACAACCTTAAATGTTTCAACATAGTGTGAATTGATAGATTTAACCACTGCACGGAAATCCTTATGCACACACTCAGGCAAAGTCAGAATTCATTACTTATGTGAACAGCAATATTTTATGGAAATACAGGACAGCACTACAAGGAAGGTGTCAAGATCTACATGTGAATGCTCGAAATAACAGAGAATGAAAGTGGATTTTAAATATGACAGTTTATGACTGTCATAAAAGACAAAGCTGTCATTTTTTGCCTTCCAGTATTTATTCTCAGGAGAAAACAAAGCTAGCTACATGAGTTTCATCACCTGCATCACACATTTGTATTTGGATGCTGTGAGATACAGAAAGAAGGAAGTGACACCCCCCCTCCCCCCGCTAATTGACTTGGTCATGAGAGACATTCATCTCAATATCCTGTGTTTTCAACTATACATTGACAATTAACATTCAGGTCAATGATTGAATTACTGTAGAATTTTCAGGTCTAAAAAACAGTTTTGTATACTAAATATGATTAAGAAATATGCTAGGATGTCTTAGAAATATAACAATTAAAGCTTATAAAGTAATACTACTACTACAGTAAACTTTATTTAACCATTTTATGTGCACGTTAGAATTTACCAAGTGATTTAGATGAGTTGTGTTATTTAATCCTAGTGAATTCAAATGGTAGCAGACTTGCACAAGAGTGCATACAGATTGGATTCACGTGAGCTCTTCTGACTTCTGATCTTTTGCTTTCATTCTATAAAATGTCATATTCTTCAAGAACTCAAAGTAGTTTTTTTCTACTACACGTTAAGCTAGTTTGTTGGTCATTACGGTATCTACTCTCAAGTTGCCATTTTAAACGCTTCTCTACATAGCTTCTGGATGCTACGAGGAAACAAAACTGACTATGGCTATAGACGAGGTACTGTTGAACTTTTTCTGGAAAGGACCAGATAGTAAATGATTTCAGCTTTGCAGACCATCTAGACACTGTTGAAATCACCCAGTTCTGCCTTCATAAAGGCAGAAGTGGCCATAGATGGTAAGAAAACATGTTCCAGGAGTGTTTGTGTACAGATACACCCATCAGAGGGATATGTTATCAGAAAGAAATTGCATCTGATAGAAATGATAATTAAACGAGAATGGTGGGCATACAATTGTCTCGAGGTGAAAAATGAGATAAGCTGTCTCTTGCCACCTCCTGTGTTCCCCAGGCAATTGAAGCTCTCACTTCAGTTCGGCCAATGGAAGAGTTAAATGCACTGGGATTGGAAGTAGAGAAATTGACCTGCTGTTAGTCTTCACCAAAGACAACAAACTTTATCCAAGAATGACTGGCTTTATCATGGACACTGTGTAGACAGGAAGTATTTTACAAAACAATGTAAGAGGACCAGTTTTCTTCCATTATCACAAGAAACAACTAGTAAAATTTATGCCACAATACCATTTTTAAAAGTACCAGAAAATCAGCATGTAGAAAGACATCTAATGAAGTTTTGCAAGTTTTCAACACTGCAAATGCCAAAGAACTGTTGAGATCAAAGACTGAAACACCTGGAAGGACATACAATGTGTGTGGGTCGTGACACAAGGTAGAATAAAGGTAGCTATTCTTAGGCTGGAGGAGTAGCTCAAGTGGGAGAGCACCTACCTAACAAGTGTGAGGCTTTGAGTTCAAACCCCACTACCACTAAAAACAAAGAAAAAAGGAGATAGCTGTTCTCAAATTAATCTGCAAGTAAATAAAATCCCAACCAGAATCTCAACAGGAGTGACGGAGGATGGGTGGGTACACACCTGTGCTTGTGTTTTGAGAAGTTGATTCTGAGTATTTATTGAAATATAAAGGGCTCGGAATGGCCAAGGCAGTCTTACAGGGCGGGGGATGCTGCAGGATGGGTGCTCTGAACGCTCAGTATCTTTTGTTTGGTTTGACTAGTGAGGACAGTGTTGCACTGTATCAAGACTGGAAAAGTAATATTAGAAGAGGAACAAGCACAGGTAGTGAGTTCTACACCCCGATGGTGCTGTCACGCAGTGCAGGGAGGAAGCTGCTGCTGACATTAGGTAGTGATGTGTACACTAGGTGTCCATTTACAGTACCTGCACTGTGCAGCTCTCAGTGTAAATGCTGAACCAACAGAGCATTTAGAGGAAAATGTAGAACATATTTGTGTCCTTTCTGTAATTAAGAATTTAAGAACTGAACCAAACGGTGCTACTCCCATTCTAATACAATTGACAATTTGGATTGTATTAATTGTCACAACTTCTCCTAAGAAGAGACCAATAAAAAAGTAAAATGCTAGCCATAGATGAGAATAAAGCGTTTCCAAACCTGTGTCTGCCACAAGATTGCTCGTCATATTTACTGAACTTCCCACAGATCAGTCAATGAAAAGCAGATCATCCAACAGAAATTTGAAGAAAAGACATAAAGGACATGTACCAGAAAATGCTATTTGAATGAGTAACAGATGTAAGAAAGTTGCTTGGTGTCATCTCCTTGAGGAAAATGCAGGTTAAAACCACACCATGGTAACACTTGACTAATATCCAACAAGACCACACCAAGTTGTCACAGTTTTGAAGTGTACAATCCTTTGGAGTAGAGACAGATCCAACCTCATCTGGAAAAATTTTAAACTACTGGCTAAAGCTGTCATATGCAGAAGAAAATTCCACCATTTCTCCTATGTACATACATAACAAAACATGTAGCCAGGCTCACCATAAGTCAATACAAGAATATTTATTGGAGGACTCCTAGGAGTAGAGGAAACCCTGAAACAACTTTAATGTCATCAGTATAGACTGGCATAGTCACCAATGGGATTGTACAGCTCAGTAAGAGTGAGGGATATACAATAGGCGCAATAGGGTTGTGTTCCACTCACGGTGTTCAGTTGGGAGCCACCCCCAGTAGCGTACATAACGCATGACTTCTTGTTTGTACCATTCAAGACTAGGGAAAACTAAGACGTGGGCTGGAAAGCCGTGTCCCTCTTGACTTTGGCTGCTCAAAGCAGTGTCTGAGTGGAACAACAGAAGAAGGAGTCTGGGGCTTCCTTACAGCTCTAGCTCTGACTTTAGGGCTGGATCTGATGACAGTTGCATGCACACTGTGAAAACCTATTGAGCTTTTAATGATTGCACCTTATTCTGTAGAAGGTTGAGCTTCAGTGCACGCTTTACATGGAAAAGAAAAGAAAATGACTGACTTGATTTGGTCACGCAGCAAGACCCAGAGCCATGGATGACTGACTCATTTATGGCAAGTTTCAGAATAAATGATCTGTGTAAACACTAGAGACCACAAGGGGAAGAGATTGTCGCCCGGTGCAAGCTGTTTAATCTGGGATTCTTGACGGAGGTCTCTGGTGGACCTCTGGTGGAGCTACCTCAACCAGGTAGCTCTGGTTGACCCAGGCCAGTAGTGATGGTGATCACATTAGTTGTGAGCCCTCGAGCGTAGACCCTCTGGTGAGGCCATCACATTGCTTGTGGAACTCTATTTGAAAGGGGGCATCCAGCCTGTGCTGGGAAGGAAGTTGGTGTGAAGGGACATCGACATGTGTCTGTGTTAGTGCAGGAGCTTGGGATACCAGGCAGAGGGCTGAGAAGGAGCTTCTATTTGGAGTTGGTTCCAGCTGCAGGAAGTGAGTGAAATGTAACATCAACATGTGCACTCTTCTTAAACAGCTGTGGAGTCTCTGGGACATTAGGAAAGCCTGATTCACGGTCTCCATTCAATTTATACAGCTCTGCAATGGTTAGGGGAAAAAGGCATCAGGACATCGCATTTGTATAGCTACATGACACCAGGATACCATGTTGGGAGGGACAGAGGCAGAGGTAAAGATGACAGCATAAGTTAAAACACCTTTGGAAGAAGTTTTCTTGGAGCAGTCAGCCGCTCTTGTGGAGTTGTCTCCCCATGAAGAATTTAAGGCAATGACATAACATTTGGGAATGTAGAGTGTATGCATACACCTAGTTATGGTTGAATGTGCTTTGGTGTTTACCATCAGAAACCAATAATATTCATCTCTTCTTTTCTAGGTTTGAACTCTCGTGAGCTACTCGTTTACAAGAACTGTACTTGGAACTGCACGTTTGTATATGCAAGGGACTTGCCTCCTGAAACCCCAAGAAAACTCCCGAGAACGAATAGTTTCTTTTTTACCTTTTGTTGTAGTGGTATGACTTGCAATTCAGGAGGACCTTCTAATGTTGAGAGGGACTTGTTGACAGATTACACCACTGAGGAAGATCTGCCAGAAGGGACCATGCGCTTGGGGCAGTCTCAGCTTTTCCTGAGCCTCGCCTCCCTCCTGGTCAGCAGCACACTGTTGTGAAAGTCCTCCTCGGAGGGTCTGTTCCTCTCCCCCCAGTGCTTGGAGCACTTTGCTTTGTTGCTCCGTTGTGAACCAGGGACACTGATCTCTCAACCCTCAGTTGGCTTTTTGTAAGAAAGCAATAAAGAGCGTTGTTGGTTGAAAACATTCTGGAATGTTTGTTTCCTCGTGTATACTGAGGTACCCATAGTGGGGATTCTCCTCTGGATCTGCTCTTTTCTCCCCTGCTACGCCTCAGGAACGAGTCTGTGGTCTGGTTATTTGAATGATCTTTTCTCCTTCAGACATGGTGGACTAAATATTCATTGTGCAATTTTGTCAAGTGTGTTTTGTTGTTTTTGCACACAGAGATTGGGTAGTTTAGTCAAAAGACAAAATGCTTACGTGCTAATCTACATGTGGGCTGATAGGTCCCAGCTCTGCTCAGAGCATGGGTAGTGGAACCACCTGAGACTGGCCATCCTTGCAGCACTCAGGTGTGTGTGGGGAGGGGAAGCAGGGAGGGTGCCTGGCAGTGAGCAGGACCTAGATCATCAGGGCCTGACATTCATGGCTGTGTTTAGTGGCCTGTGAAGTCAGACAGGCTCTGCAGAATCTGGTTGTCTTTGTAATGCCACCTGCCTCATGGAAGTGACACAATTCTTCCCCAAGTGCTAGCACCAGAGAAAGAGGACCTATTTGGTGAGGTTCTCTTTGGTGTAAAAATGTTTAGAAAATGTGTGCGTGCGTGCACATGTGATTTCGTGTGTGTTTGGGGTGAGGGACGTTTGGATGTTGAGAATTCTTGGTACTTTGAGGGACCTCATTCTTTGCTCATGAGGCCCTCAACTGATGGTTTTTGTTCTTTTAAGTGCTTTGTAGAATTCACCAGTGAGGCCATCTGGTCTAAGGCAGTTGTTTAACAGATCAGAAATGCCTGATACTGGTATCAGGGTGTCACTGCACCACTGAATGAGTCAGAAGTGTTGTCAACGCTTCAGCTCTTTGAAAAAGTGTGTTAATAATTTACCTTAATCTTTTAAAATGTGAATGTGCATTTGTGTGTGTGAGTGTATGTGTGTTCTGTGGCTGGTGACTGTTCGTGTGAACATTGTGGACACGTCTGTGCATTCGGAGACAGGGAAGAGACACCCACCGTCATGGATGGGGACAGAGGGCTGGAGACAAGATGGACCAATCTCTGTAGAAGGACTTGGGTGTACTTGATGCTAGATCACACTGGATATCAGCGCAGGATTAGGTATGAAAGAGCATTTTGGGGGAAGCCTGTGAAGGATGAAGGGGCACAGTGTGGGCAGCAAAAAATGTGAGGCCCCAACCCAGGCCTATCAGCTGTGGGAGGAGAGAGACCCCTGACCCAAGGGGCCACTTGAGATGTTGACCAGGCCCCTGAGGCTTGGGCCAGCTGCTCAAACGGGTGCTCAGCAGGGGCTGCGCACCATGGTAGTCATCTGCTTGGAGCAGGGAGACAGCGCATATCGGGCAGGAAGTGTTCCTTCACCAGGCTCATGTGTTGAAGGAGGCTTGGTCCCCAGCTAGTGGTACTAAAACCCTGCATTGGTGCCCAGCTCGAGTACAGCACACAGGCACTTGATTCAAAGCTTCACACACCCTCGCTGACCTGCAATGTATCAAGCGAGGCTACCTTGAAGAAAGACACTTACCCTGGGGGAAAACATTTGATAAAATGACTCCTGTGAACACAGAGTGTTTGCAAAGAAGGAGAAAGTTATCTTAAGGAAGGACACCTGGCTTAGAGGGAGCATCTGATGGAACCCATCCTTTCTTTAGAGGGAAAACGGACATCTGTGCCACAGTGACCCAAATTTAATAAACTGACCAGACTCAACATTGGCCCCACCGATGTCAAAACAGAGTAACAGCAAGAGGGGTTGAAAGTCCCACGTGTCCAGAACAAAGGGATGCACTTATCCCAAGGTGAATTTCAACCAAACCCCACCCCATGTTTTCAGCAGAGATATCCCCGACGTCAGAGCACCCCGTGTGCCCACACTCATCCGGGTGGGCCCGCACTCAGTTCCTCTGCTTTTCTTTACCACAAACCTTTGTGGTCTCTACCTCAATATACCCTAAAGTTCATTTTTGCAGCAACATTGGGAACCCAGTAGTCCAGGGCCAGGTAGAGGCCTCTTCCCTTTTGGAGACCTCCCTGGAGCCTCCCGGTTCCGTGAATGGAATAATGCACCGAGGAGTCCATAGGTGAATGGGCTATTGGGAGGCTAGCTGGAGAAGGAAGGTCACTATGGACATAGTTTTGAAGGGTGTTTCTTGTCCCCAACACTCCCTCTCCTTCTGTCTCTATCCCCTCTCTCTCTCTCTCTCTCTCACTCTTTCTCTCTCTCTCACCCACCCCCACTCTCCCTTGAGGTGAGCATCTTTTCTTCACCATGCCATCCAGCATGATGTTTGTGCCTCACCACAGACTCATAGCAATGGGGTCATTGATCATGGCTGAAGACTGAAAGCGTAAGCTAAAACAAACCCTTCCTCCCTAAGTTGTTTAGCCCAAGTATTTTGTTGAGGTGACAAAAATCCGACCAACACAGCACTGAAGGGCCTGTGTCCACTCTATTCCCCAAACTCAGGGGAGTCATGACCACTGTGCCCATCATCTGTGCTTGGCTCAAGTCATGCTTCTGCTTTTCCAACAGGGGGTGCAAGAGGGAGCCTGGGCACTGATGGCCAGGGGCATCTCTCAGCCCTGCGCCAATTAGGGTGAGTGAGTGTCCGACTCCAAGGTCAGGTCCTGCCCAGAAGGTGCCAAAATGTGTGTCATACGATCCCGGAAAAGAACTGAAGGGCTCCATGCTCAGAGAGGGCAACCCAAGGGGACATTCCCGAAGACACTTGGCCACATTCGTCAAGGACCCCACCCTGATGAGCTCCTGTTCACCCTTCCTGGCCCCCACTCCAGCTATTGTGGTCACTGGTAAACAGAAATCCAGATTCTTACATCTCACATGAGGTATCCAAGCAGGACATGTAGATGTTGTGAAGGTGATATCAAAAGTTTATTAAAGGTTTGGGGAAAATGTCACTAACAGCCATGATGGGCCAGCAAAAAGGTGAAAGCAGAGACTGCTATTCTGTATCCAGGCCCTTTTAAAACCTTGCTAGGCTATGGGGGAGCAAAATACGGTGGTTCTGGATCACGAGTCAGCAGCGAATGGGGGATTTGGGTGTCCCTGTGCTAGGATGGTGGTGCAGGGTAAGATTTGAAAAATCTGCACATATTTGCAATTGAAAGGAGGTTTGGCAGATATTAAAAGGTTTTGCAATTGAAAGAGAGATCCAGAGAGTAAGAAAAATGTTCAATCTGAAATATAATATTAAATCGTAAGAGTTCTGGTCTCTCCCTATTTTAGCCTGCCTCAATTTCCTCCTACGTTCTTCTTCAGCATCTGCTTTAGTGCTGACCAGAGGCTGCAGACCCTGCAATTGTTTCTCCTACTCCTATCCTTCAGGTCTCATTTAGTCATCAGAAGGTGTCTGTTATACAGATCTTTGACCAACCCACTCAAGGTTACTCATAGGGAGCTTGTTCATCTGCAGAGATTGGCAGACTGTTGCAGCAAGATTTGAACCCTAAAGGCTTTTATCCTGGAAGATGTAAATCTGGTGAACAAGTTCAGATGGCATGACCGAAACATGAGCGCTGACAGAAGCATCAGAATGTGCCTGGCCAGGTGCAGTAGCCAGGATGCACAAATTTAAGTCTTAAACCATACGAATAATACTCTTTTTCTAGGAAAAAAGACAAAGCCTATCCTTTTTTTTGCTGTCAGAGGATCTAATTTTTCATTTGAAAAGTGACTACTGTCACAGAATCTATTGGTTACTTCTCATATAGGTGTCTATACCTGTAGCTATTGATAATCCAGTTAGAAGGGGGATGAGTTTATTGGTCCTCTTTGTTCAGATTACCACTGTAGTGGGACAGTTAATGACTTGATTGTTTGGGACAATAGCTACATCAGGGGCCAGGTGTTCCAGGGGATAGATGCCAATTCAAAGATAATCAATAGGAGTTGTTCCATACATATCTCTAATGAGGAGTTAACCACCACTACAAAGTACCATGTAAGAAAAGTAGGGAAAAGTAAACAACTCCATGAGCATGAACTATTAAAAGGATATAGCTGGAGGCAGTAGAAATAGCTGTATTGCCTCTGCTTAAACAGAAGGCCCTGGCCAAAGACACAAGTTTACCCTTTGCCATAAGCCTGAAAAGCTTATTACCAGATAACACAGGCATTAGAACCCCCTTTTAAGCCTCTCTGCTTGGGTTATTCTTGCAGGTCTGGCATAACTGACTACATCTAGATGTACAGGAAATCCCCTCGTTGTGTAGTCCCTTTAAACTGTTTCTCTTGACAGTTGCTTCTGAAGATTTCTTTGGTTGATTTTGGTCCTTCTTTGCCAGGATTAGCTTTCTCCCAGGACGTCTAATATTGTCCTATGTTGGAAGGAAGTAGTACAACAGACAGGTCAGGTGGAAGTCATTGTCAATGAGACCTCTTTGGCCAAATTTAAGCAACAAAGGATTTAAAAGCAGTGGCTGTTAGGCTGGTCTCAATTAAGTCTAATTCAGTCTGTCCTATTGCGGATGTACGGCCACCTTAAAAGTGCTGTGGAATGTCAATGAGCAACAGTTGTAAAGCTTTACAAGGAAAGTACAAAGCAACACCAATACTTTAGAATGTTTGGGTTGACAGACAAGCACTTGTCAGAGTCATGTTCCATGAGCTTGTCTATAAATCCTCCGGAAGGCTCATAACTGCAACAACAGACTGAAAATAACATGGTTAAAATTCTGAAGAACAGCTTAGTGACTGACAGAACAGTCTAATTGCTTGCATTGTATATAGCAATATTAATCCTCACATTACAATTGGGAACACATGCACAAACTTGCAAAAAGCTAGCATCACTAACAGCTTTAATATGGGAGCCACCAGCTTGGTACAGTGTCTTTTTAC